ATGCAACAATCAACCAACCAACTCGCTATGGTCAATACAAGACAGAGCTATGAAGAAAAAAAGGCAAAATAATAGATAGTAGTAAAGTAATGTTAAGTTAACCGGTGATAATACCGGCTAAAACATCACTCTTCCCTCTCGCATAAATTGTGTAAACCAGACGAATCGCGTCGAGCCATCCATCTAAGGACTCCCATGAATCTGCAACCTGTGTTTATGCAATTCAAATTTTCATTTCAGTTTTGTTTCATTTCAAAATCCTTGAGCTTTATTATACTGCTAATAACTGAGGCTTACCAGGAAAACGGGGCCATGAATGGTATCAATGCAGAGACCAGCACCAGGAGGTAGAGTGAGATCAGCACAAGGCGTCACTGACACAATCTCTGTAATGTTCACTTTTACCGTCTTCTTCTCCACGTTTGTGCTCATTGTCTCTGATTTTCCTGACAGGTTTCTCCCCATTTCTCTTGGTTCAGGTTTCAGTACCTACACCACCCCAGGTAGGGTTAAGTACAGGCTCTATCTTTCTGTGTATTCTCATGATTCAACCATTTTTCTTTAAACATAGAGACTTTGCCGATGATATATCTCAAAATACTTCCTCAGGAAACTCAAACTGAGAGAGTACCTGTAGAAGCCTCTCGTGATTGAGTTCAAACTCCGTGCGTTTCCAATCACTGTGAGGAGCGAGTGAGTTGCCCACGGGTGGTGCCGTTAGATATCCAACTTTAAGATGCGGTAGAGGTAGCTGCCAAAATATATATTAAATTTTACTTTCTTGTCACTTTCCACAAATAAATCAACTTGCGTGCGTGAAGTGATGGGTCATCAAAAGGTACCATGGAACGAACGAGCCTCAAAGCGCTGCTGTAAACCTGGACCAGTGAAAAGATCAGCCTATGCATCTAATTCTGGCACTCAATCTTATTTAATAGCAATATGACTCAAACATCTCTGATTCCATCACAAAATCGAGACCATCAAACTCACCGAATAACTTGGCTTCAACGAATGAGCTGCAGCAATGTAAATGGCAGATTGGCTGTATAACTCACCGGGAGGCATGTCTTTGCCGTTGCCTGAACCCCCCGTTCTAAGTGTGTCTTCTGCTAATCCATACTGTAATACAGAGAAGATTCCACAGTGGTCAATTAACTGGAATGCAGCCACAATCCTGCATGTAAATTAGTTTTGTGAAAGGAATGTCAAGCATAACTGACCAGAACAGTTCCAAGGTTGTATATGGCTCGATGGAAATCAAATTGCAACCTGATTGCTGCCCGAAACTGTATTGTAAAACATGTGAAAAGGGATATTAAGAAGTCAATCATGCATATCAATGCCATGGTTACATTAGTCAGAAAGACAAGTAAGCCACCTTGCTGATGGCAGTTCTGACAACTTTTTCCTTCTCTCTAGCCGGAACAATTTGACTGAGTTCCTAATGAAAAACCCCAAGAATATTCTAAGCTCTGGGAATTGTAATTTTTCTAGATAGGTACATTCTGTGTCAGAACATATCATGGAGATAAAACACATGTAACTTGGTTACCTGCAACGCTAGCCCCCAGTTGTTCAAGGCCTGCAGATAATTGATAGCTTATATCATAAGTCAGGTAAACAAAAGACTACAATGTAGAACTAACCGATTAAACGATACATGTTTACATCATATACGTTGACAAACGATATTCTCAAGTTTGTACATCAGATGAAGGACCATACCTGGGAACTGTTCCAGTTGAGCTGGACAGCTTTTTCATAGTTATTCGTCGCCTGGAATCAGAATGCCCAACACACACTTCTTTAGTATTAGTAGTTGAGATCAAATTACAGTAATATTAGTTTTCAGAATTAGCAGGATCAGGGCCAATAATATGCAATGTTTTACTAACCTGTTCCCATAGTTCTTCAGCCTCCTTTGTGCGACCACGCATCTTTGCCCTATCAGAGATTGCAATAGCCCAGTTGTAGTAAGCCTGTCAAAAAGAATCACACACGTCATACATAAAAGTTGAAGCCATTTATATTAACTAAAAATCACGATTTTCTTGGTTATGAGTGTGATGGCCATCATATTGCCTTTTACGCTGACATAAATCAGAAACAAAACTAAGAGATCTAGAATCCTATTAATACATACATCATAAAGCGTCGGGCAGAGACGGGTTGCCTCATCATACTTCTTACAGGCTTCCTCCAGCAAATCATCTTTAGAAGGTGAAACAGATTCTGCGCTGACATTATCGGCACTTTCCTGTTGAGAAAACTATGAATATACCTTTTTAACAGTAAAAGAAAATGAACAAAGTTCTGACAACTCCAGAGACAGACATGCTTAAGCTCTTACAGAAGTACTTTGATCTCATTCCCAGTGTTTTATGAATTTTTGATGTACATTTTAGATTTTTATTTCAGTTTATCTTTCGATTATATCCTTCAAGCAAGACATTTCTAGGCTGAATCATATTAACCACCTTAATCACCTCCATGTGAATATGTCAACCAACGCCAATGACAAATGAGAGAGAGACTGAGGTTCCGAGAGAGAGAGAGAGAGAGAAAGAGAGAAAACAGACCTGGAGAATAAGCGCCCAGTTGTATAATGCATCATGATCTTCCGGATTTCTCTCAATCGCACTAGCATACCTACAATGTTGCAGAATGACTTGTAATAGCACGCAGAAACATAAAAGACCAAGCCTTCCAATGAGCAATAAGCTCAATGAAACTAAATCTCTGTATCTATCAAGCCTGAGTTCCAAACAAATTATACAATCTAATTCATTGGCCAATCAACTAACTCTGAAACAAAGCAAAGCTTTTGGCAAAATGTTACGTACTTGCGGGCAGCAAATGCAAGAACACGCTGGCGAGATCGGCCCTCTTCGTCGTTAACTTGGATCCGATTAATCAGATCCATTGCAGGATTGTTCTCCGCTGGTTGAGAAGCACTCTCTCGGCTGAAGGAGAAAGTCGCCAAAGAGGAAAACGAGAGTTAACGAAAATGCAAAAACTCATCATAGAAACAAAATTAACCCAAATTCCCAAAGAGTAGCGACATGATCAAGTTACGGTTTTTGAGCTCAAATCAGCTGGAATGGCTTGAAACAAAGAGAAAGAGAGGAACCTATAGGGAGAAGCAGAACTGTGAGGAGTCCCGTCTCCTTCCTCGCTTTTTAATTCGCTGAGAAGCTCTCTCATGGTAAATGTCTTGTTGCCTTCATCTTCTTTCTTGATAATGGGGTGGGTTGTTTGATCAGTAGAAGATTCCTGATCGGCCTCCGTCGACCGGAGAGCGATCTCCTCGGATCCTCCCGCCGACAGATCCACATCGTCGTTTACCTCCGGCTTCGCATCTGTTACCTCAGATTGTACTTCCTCCGGCTTCGCATCCGTTACCTCAGATTGTACTTCCTCGGGTTTCGCATCGGTTACCTCAGATTGTACTTCTTCCAGCTTCGCATCAGTTTCTATCTCCGGAATTTCGTCTGCAAGTTTGTCCTCGGTTGGGAGCTGCGAATCGTGATCGGATTGTGGTTCCGGATTCGGATGATGCTCGGTTTCGGAGTCACCTGGTGCGGCTCCATTATGCAATCGAGGATCTTCAACTGTATCCGCCATGGTTGCAGTATCTTACAGTCCGAGACTGATCAGAAAAGAAATCCAAATCCCAGAGAAAGAAGAAGAGATCTGTTCAACGAGGACAAACCGAAGAAGAATGGTTTGTTATGGTTTACAATACCTTAAGCTCAATTAGAGGCTCTTGAAACTAAATAAAGTCAAAACTCTCTCTTTGCTTCAGCGGGTCTCAGAAACAGAGTCTCGTGTGCATTTTTCAGGTAAACTCCAATTTTTGAATAATTGCCCGAGAAAGTTGAACAGAGCAATTAAATTTTTAAAATGATTAGAAATTTTGAAAAATTGCGCAAATTTGTTTTCTGACTCTTCTAAAATGATTTTAAAAAGCCTAGATATTTGATTACACAGACAAGCCTCGTAGTAGTATTCTTCTTCCTACTTCACGGCTTGTGTAACTTGAACCCAAACACTCTTGGAACATAGCTTTGCGACACCTTTCGTGGCCTCAAATAATTCCAATGCATCAGAAACAGATGTGGAAATGTTGTCGCAAAGTAAGCTCCATCCATATCTGTTTTCACATGTTTAAAGAAGAACAAAAGATAGGAAAAATTATCTAATGCGAATCAACAAAGGATACTTGCTTGGTGTTTTGATGTCGGGTGGTAAACGTCTTCACATTTGGGACCATATAGCTTCACGGTACTTGCTCGAGGGACATCGGATAGACCATGAGGTAGACAAGGTTGGCCACGGCAATAAACTCTTGGGCATCTCCCAAAATCACATTTGTCGTATTTGTTTAACATAGAAACGAGTCCACAATATGTAACGAGCATGAATCATTCCGTATAACATCTCAGCTGATGACTCGATCAACTCGTTCTGTTCCTCTGTAATCATCTCACCTTCACCTGTTCGTCAATGCCAAATCAAGCATTTGCAGACACACACACACAAACAAAACCACGAAATGTCACATACTAAAGACTTGTTACCATGAGAAGAAGACTCTTCATCGAGAATCAAATCGAGAGCATAGTCGTAGTAAGGAACTCGATGGCGGAGTCCACACAAGTTGAAGTCATCTAGGATGTAGTTCTCATCGACTTCACATAAGAACTCGTTCCCGCGTAGGTTACAGAACCACGAAATCCAGCATCAACACGGAGTTTGCTCCGGCTTTTACTTTGCGATCGACCACCTCTGCTTTCGATCCAACGGTTTCTCCCTCACTAAACATGATCTAATCTATGATCCCTCTCCCAAAATTTCCGAATCTCAAATACAACAAAATTCCGGTACCGTCATCGGAGATACAATCCATTCGACGCTGGTGGATCCAAAAATAAATTCCGGGATGGGATGGGTATGTAGTAGGGTTTTGAAATGGAATGGTGTCGCACTTAGGCCGATTCAGAGGACCATTTCTAGGTGAACTCTTTATTTAAGTAACCATCAATTAGATGTTTTGAAGCGTTGTAAGACCATTTTTTGTTTCACATTTTAAGTAACAATAACAGAACAAGACTAACAAGTGACAAGAGGCGGCAAAGAGTGGGATTAAGAAGTGATCATCTCAGATCTTGTCGTGAAGATTGACGACCAAGTCATGAGCATCGTCGAGAAGTTTCCAAACATCAAGACGACCAGCCATGCTATTACATTCCTTCATTATCTCATCCATCCCACTGTACTTCTCTATGATCGTCTTCCTCCTCTGCAACACGCTTGCCGCGATCGCGTAAAGCAACAAATCTTCCGTTGGCGGTGCCCGTAACCGGATTCTCCCCCAAGTCGCCTTCGCAATCCCGGTTCGTATGGCCGCCTGATCCGCCCACATTACTTCCCACAAGCAAAGCGTCTGCTCAAAGGTTAGCTCTCGTCTGAACAGAACCACCACCATTCGGTACACAAAGAAGCAGTCCGCTGCTTCAAGATTCTCCAAGTGCCGGTACAACCGAATGTCTTTGACTTTTATGATTCTCGACACTATTGAGAGCTGCCGCCTGATTCCAACCTCGTCTAGCCGGAAGTTATGCCTTGCCTTACTCATGAACCCAACAAAGCACCAGAATGCTAACACGTCGTCTTCAATCACTGCGATTAGAGGAGACAGCAAGTCGCTCATGCCTTGACAGTAACCGATTTCTGGGTCATACACTGCGTAGGCTTCAAGGATCCCCACCAGGCGGGCCGCGTGGAATATCCGGCAGGGCTCCAGGTGGTCGTAGTCACTGAGACCAATCTGTGTGGCTAGTCCCCTGGCTTTGGTCTCAGAAACAGCGGCTTGAGACGGTGAGTATGGCACCCATTCGTCGTTTGCTCTCACTGCATCCAGGCGGATAATTCTCTGCCACGTCGTGACGAAATCCTCGTCTGCCTGAGATTTTGGCTTTGGTGATGTAGATGGATTGTCTTTTTCTTGGTTAGCAACAGTACTGTGGCTTTCTGCTTCTTCGTTAGCCAGAAGAGGCGATGTATCCGTTTCTTCACAGTTGGTTGAGTCTGATTCACTAGCAGCAGAATCTTCGGAGGTGACATCGCTCTTTTCACTGTTCCCATCCTGCTGAACCAATTCAGAATTCAACTTTTCTGATTCTTCTACTCGGACGGATCTTGTGGAACTATCGACGTCTTCAGTATCATGGGCATCAAGAACCTGGCTGTCTTCGGTGTTGCTGCTCTGAGCTGTCTGCTTTGAGCCACACCCATCTTCATTGCGTTCATGAATCTCACGACACTGTCTCCGCAGGTCTTCATACTCCTTCCTGCAGGATTTACATATATATATATATTAGAAACCACTCACAAATTGACACAAAATCAAAGTGATAGGAGTTCCCAAACTACTTCTTATTCCTAGTTTTATCTACACATTGAACAAGTTACTAACCAGCTGCCACCTAACGGGAACAGAGAAATGGGAAAAAGTAATATTGGTAGAAAGTTGAGACGCCATGAAACTCTCCATAAGTATAAAGCAAACGTACTTTTTCTGCTGTCGGATAGAATCTCTTTCTTCTTTGGTGCTCTTTAAGTCATACCTGTGAGAAATAAGGAAAATAAGGTTACAATGTGACCAACCATTTAAATATCCTCACTCGGTCACTCCTAGTTAAATAATAGTTTACTGTTATGCTATTTACTCTACCTTAAACCTATATCACATCAATAACCAATCCCGACGAAAAATCTGTACTTCAATATTTAGAACATGCACGCGTAACAAACCTAAGGCCGAACAGAAAAAACCTCATGGTAACTGCGATATAATTGGGTCAAATCCTACTATAGCAATTGGATAAATAAAAGAAGGAACAATGACAAAGATACTGATTCTTACATTCCAAGGAGGAACGGCCAAACTTCTGGTCTGATGCTTGGATCCACACCCTGAAACAAAGATAGGAATAAATATATAGAGGCATAACGGGAAAATTTCGGTTAAAATCAGAGTGTCAAAAGGTTATCAGAAGTTCAAGCAGAAATTTTTTTTTATTTAGCAACATACCCCACTGCGAACTTTCTTCAGAAATTTGACACCTCCATCACTGAGTTGCCCTTCCTCTGTGAAAAAAGCATTCCACTGTTTAGGTTGAAGAGCATGCTTTCTTCTCCTCAGTGACCAAGGTGATCCAATGCTTCCTCTGCAGAAGTGGATGAGCAGAAAATGAGCAACAAAAAAATAAAAACTACATAAAACCAGATGTGGTGATAAAAGACTTCCTTTGAACCTATATAGTACATGTTATGTCCTATGTTCATATATGTTAAAAATAGTATCAATGGAGCTCAACGTACATCGGAAGACATAAGACTCTTAACACAAGCTATACAGAAACAGCTAAAGAATCATAACAATGCAAAGCGATTTCCAGGTGTGATGGTAAGAGATTCAACAATGAAAAGCCTGTGTGTTTGTCTGTTTGATAAAATTTCAAAAAAAAAGAAACACAAACACAAATCTTTAAGGAATTCATATCTAGAGTTCCGTGAGGAGTGTGTACATGGAAGTTCCAGACTTATGCCCTAAGAACAAAGAACCAAGCTTCCTTCCTAGAAAAACAATCTGCCTGTTCAAGAGAGCATAGCACCCCCATACACGATTCAAAAGACAACCCAACAAACAAGCTAAAGCCTAAAAGTGAACACTAAACATTCGTCTCAAGACCATTATACGTGTCAGAGTCTATGAATACTTAAGAGATCCTATGGCCAGCCTGAGAGTCTTACAAGACATGATGGCTGGTACTGATCTTCCGGGTTAAGTAACATTGGACCAAGAGCTCAATCACGATAATCTAACTAACAGCCCAAATGGATATAAATTTGCTGAGAGTTCTTAGCTAAAGAAAGACCTGGGGATCTTTCTAGTCTCAATGTTCCAAGAGTTGGAAGAAGCATACAGTAATGAAAAGCCAAGGGTCAGCAGAAACAGGTGAGAGTAACAGAGAAGCCACAAGAAACAGAACCGATAATGATTTATGAATCTTCCCCTATCAAATCTATGGGTACCAAACGACTACTGAACTAAGCATGACAAGTGGTGAACAAGCTTTGCTTCTCTCGATTAGAACATAATCAGATCTTTGGGGTTTCATTTCCAAATCCAATGTTTACCTACGGGAGTAGACGACGGTGAAAGCCACGGCGAGACCGGCCATGACGGTGACAGCGACAGCTAAACCAACATTGGAAGGAGCAACAGCCGACGACCATAACCCGCCGGAGTAGCCGTTCCTCGCGCCGCCACCGCTGCTTCCATCGGCAAAGACGATCCATCTCCCGCCGAGGATCAGCGAGAAGAAGACCACGACGACGAAAGATGGCGGCGATGCGACGGACCGAGTAGCCGCCACTTTGTCGATCTTCGTCAATCGTAGTCGTCCAAACATCATCCCCAAGCTAGGGATTCGCTCACTTTTTTGCTCCAATATTTGTGATTCTCAGAGTAATCATCGCTTATTATTATTCTCCGCACCCAAATTTGATGAAATTGATTTTGAGGAAAAGTCGAATGTGGTTTGTTTAATGAATACCGCTCACTTCTTTAATGGGCCTTCCTACGGTTGTTGGGTCATATCGTTCTCAAGCACGTGAATCATTTACCATTTGATTCAGTGATTCTTCCGGTTAAATGACAAATCTATTTGGTTATCGGTTATTGGTTTGTTTGTTGAAACAAAAGCCGTTGCCGGCTATATAAAAGTTAGACCAAATGACTGATTGAATTTAAACAGAGTAATCTATCCGTATACGAGAAATGATTCACACAAATCATAACATTCAATGATATTTTTTTAATAATTTTCCTCCAACTTTGCGTTATTCATCAAAATAATAGTGTAGTAGGAAAAAAAAAATGTATTAGAGAAAAAACAACTAAACATGGAAATATAAAAGTCAATCGGACGGCTGAAATTGCCAGGCGGAAGCAATCAAAAGCGAGAGATCCTTCCAACCGAGACGGAGGGTTCCATTCTCTTCCACCAACGTGTATCCATTCCAGGGCAGCATACCCAACAACAAACCCGCTTGCGTTGCCGGGTTGCCCTGAAGAGAAACGGGTCTAAATCCGACCCGACTCAGCTCCTCCTTCCACCTCATCGTCATCCTCTTCTTTCCCCCGACTATGTTCCTTATCTCCGTCGCAAGCACAATCTGTTCCACCGTGAACCTCTCTCCACTCTCCTCGCCTAGCCCGTCTCCAAGCGCGTCGAACAACGCGCTGTAATAATGCAGCGCCTCCACGAATCTCCCTAGAAAGCAGCTTCCTCCGTCGTCGTAGCTCAATTCCTGCTCCACCATCGTTACCAGATTCGGTTTCAGCCTCCGCAGAATCTCCAGCGTATCGATATCGCTCCCGGTGACGTCGTATAACCGGTGCTGCATCCAGTGGACCACCACAGCCTCGCCGGGTCTCGTCCCGAGTTGACTCGCGTCGATTATGTTTCCGATTTTGCCTTGGATTGGATGAAACTCGAACGGGAGGGACAGGGAAGCCGCGAAGCCGGCGAGTCTCCGGCCAGTGGAGGCGAGGAGATCGGAGGAGGAGCCGAATCCGGTGATTCGGATTGATCGGAGTTTGCGAGGACGGGAGGCGAGGATGTGGAAGAGTCCAGGCCATTGAAGACCTTGCATCACGTCGAGATCGATGATGTGGACGGAATCCTCGCCTTCAAGCGCCTGGAAGATCGCTTGATTCGCCGTGAAATGAGAGAATTTGATCAGAGGGCTCACGGAGTTGAACGTCTGCAGGGCGGCGAAGACCTTCTGGGACTGGAAAACGGTGAGGAGCGGACTCTCGGATAGTGGAGTACACGCTCCGGCAAGGTATGAGCTGATCACGCGAGCTTGCAGAGCCTGTGCGAAGTAGGCGACGACTCGCTCCGGTGAGGAGCCGAACGGAGAACATATCTCGGAGATTTCCGACAGGAGGGTCGAAGCTTCACGGAGGTGATCCGTCGCGACGTATTCGGCGCATTGGAGCAACAGGCTGAGGAGGTTGATTGCGCCGCCGTCGTCTTCGAGTGTGGTCTCGTCGGCGAAGTCGAGGTCTTTACGGCGTTTAACGGCGAAGGGATCGCCGGAAGAAGGGTAATCTCTGTCGATACGTTTTGCAGTCATGAGGAATTGAGGGAAAATCAGAGAGTGGAATCATTGAAGAGAGAAGAAGAAGAAGAAGGGAGCAGAAAAGGGGAAAAAGGGAGATTCGAAAGGCGAAAGGGTTTAAGAGAGTAATGACAGGAAATTCGCAGAGACAAGACAAGATAGTATTTTGGATGGATGAGTTTTTGTGATTTCTCAAAAGATTTTTATCTTCTTTTGCAACAATCAAAGTGCTGTTTGTGAAGGTAACAGCTCGATTACTCTTTTTGTCTTTTCCTACAAACCAATCTTTTTCTGAATAATCGAACCGAACCAGACTCAAGATGCTTTAACCAAAATTTGTTTACTAACCGATGGATTCCACTATTTATTAGTTTGGGCTTGCAATTTCAAGATACAGTATTTTATTTGTCTTTGAATTAGTCAAGAACCCTTTAAAAAAGCCCAAAGGCCCATTAATGACTGCAAGTCCTAAAATCTTTAATTTGTGAATCTTCCACTTTGACTCTGCGTCCGCGTCTCCGTCTTCGTCTTCTCAATCCATGTACGCTTTCTGAACTGAATCTTCCCTATAATTTAACGCTTTTCTTCTTCTTCTTCTTCTTCTCCATGGGGTCTTCCTCGTTTTCGAAATCCTTTCCGTCCAGTTTCTCCAATTGGACTTGATCTACATCGTGAATCGTGAATCGTGAATGAGATTGTTTCCCGCAACCCTTTTGTTGGCGTAATTCGAAACAAGCAAACCCTAATCCGTGATCTTAAATCGCGTTTCCAGTTGTTTTGCGAGGTGCGTGATGGATCAATCGCAGAACGCAAGCGCAGGGATTGGCGGGAGCAATGGCACGACGAGACAGCAAAGCAATGATGGGAGCGTCGACGAGTCGAAGGAGAAGCTGAACCAAGTCATAAACTCGATTCAGAAGACTTTGGGACTCCTTCATCAGCTGAACCTCACCGTCTCTTCTTTCACACCTGCGTCTCAGCTGCATCTCCTCCAGCGCCTGTAAACCACTTTTTTTTTCTTCTGTCAATCAAGTTTCTCATTGTTCTGGGTTGATTGTGCCGTTGAAGAAGTGCGTCTCTAATTGCAGAAATGCTCTTGTGGTGGAGCTGGATAGCATGGCTAAGTTGTCCGAGAAATGCAACATTCAAGTCCCCATGGAGGTTCTTAAGTGAGAATCAGTCCCTTTTACAGTCCATAGGAGATACTTTTTGCTTGCTTTCTTTCTTATGCTGCTGCTGGTGGTGTTGCATCTCTCTTTTCCTTAGCTTGATTGATGATGGGAAGAACCCAGACGAGTTTACAAGGGATGTTCTCAATGGCTGCATTGCCAGAAACCAAGTTACAAAGGGCAAGACTGATGCTTTTAAGGTAACCCTTCCCTTTCTTTTTTCTTCATCCTACTGATTTCCAGTTTTTGTCAAAGTCAACATTTTTATTGTTGATGTTGATTGTATAAAAGGGTATGAGAAAACATATGATGGAGGAGCTTGAACAGACTTTTCCTGATGAAGTCGATTCGTATAGAGAGATGCGTGCTACTTCTGCCGCTGTAAGTTGTATATGAGCATCGCTTCCTCTGTTTTCTATCTGAGATTGTCTCTACATCTTTCATTATTTGTCAATTTGACCATCAATTTTGCATTCGAATTCAGGAAACAAAACGGATGGCCCAGTCGCAAAGTGTGTTACCAAATGGGGATGCAAAGGTCAAGAGTGAGCTATAAGTCTTCCTGTAAATCTTTACCTTTTACAATGAAATTTCCTAGTAGATGAATGTGGATGTAAACAAACAGGCCCACTTGGAATTTCTAAGATATAATATATGTTGGTTCATTTAACTTGGCTAATATAGTTTGAGAATCTCTGCTTAATCTCCTAGTTCTATCCATAGGTTTTGTGAATAGCATGTGGTTGATTCCTATTAGAGACAGGATGAGTAATAGTGGCTCTGCATAGAAAAGAATAGTCCTGCCGAGAGAAGAAGTGATCTTGCTTTGCACTGAGTTGTCATCTTGTCTTGCCTCATTATGTTTAAAGCTGATCCAATGTTAGCTACAAAAAAAAATCCCAGTGTTGAGATTGGCTTTTAGTTTAACCACACTCCCTCCACTAGTGAGTTGTGATTATCTATCTGGTGGTCTGTGTATATAGAAGCATGGTATCACTATTCCTGATAGTTCTCATTTCCTACTCTCGACCATTCTTCTTAACACCATTTATATGTCTTTGATCGCTCTCTTCTATTTGATATTTAGTCAGGTTTTATACGGTTTTCCTTATAATATACCAAAAGTTGGATTATCAGTTCATTATTTTGCAACCGGAAATCAGCCAACTGCAGTAATCTTTTGTGGAAAAAAGGAACTTTGATTGGTTTTAAAAATACTTTACTTGTATTACCTACGGGACTATAGTATAATTCTGTCTGAAAATTGTACCTCGGTTAATCTAGCCGTGCTAATAAAAAAATTTAGTAAAAAGTTAAAACTGGTTACAATCGTTAACACCACTTGCTTTATCGTGTTTGTTCGCTTTTACAGTTACACTTACTTATTTATTGTTCCGTACGGTCCATATCATTGTTTTTTATTTTCATCAACATATCATTTATTATATGATTTACCTATTGAGAATATTTGTACTTACTGTCAACCACTATTTTACCATGTAGGTATAATGTATTAAAAATATCTGGAAATGTATAAATATGAAGTTGAATAAAAAAACTGTTTAAAAATGTGGGTAGAGAGAGAGAGAGAGAGAGAGAGAGAGAGAGAGAGAGAGAGAGAGAGAGAGATATGTGAAGCATGTGAATGTCACATGAAGTAAATGAGAATGGTGAAGACATCTCTCTCTCTCTCGCATGCCATCTTTATCAAATTCAACCTAATCATGTCCTAATAATTCACCTCTCTTCTTTCTTTTTAAATTTTCGTTCTCAACTAATCTTTTGACTTTCTCAATACATATTTTGACTTAAATCATCGTCATAATGATGACAATAATGATCCGATTATATACCCTTCCTAGTTACATTTAAGGTTTTAGTCGATAACTATTTTATAATCAAAGAAATTTAAGAACAAGCTATTTGACCTATTTTAAATCTAAAATGTTTTAACGTACATCCATCCAAGATCAAGAGCTAGCCTAGAATCTTGCCGATCCACCGATAAAGTATTTGACTTTTTTTATATGCAGTATCGTATACATGTGAAAGCATTATAGATAGAAAAAGATTTAAGTGAATTAAAAAATAAATAAGTTGAGATAAGTCATCAAAAATTGATGAGTTATGACTTTAATATGTTTGTTCTTTTCGACTTTCTATCTTTTTCGAATTTCGCTTTTTTTCTAATACTTTTACCCCCTACATTTTCACAATCTTTTCCTAATAATATCTTCTCTCTATTCTTCATCATTACTTTCTTGTCTCCCTCTCTTTCACTTTATTTATCCTGTTTATAAATTATAAGCTGATCATCTCTCTTGTAAAAGCTAGGGTTTTCTTATGGACTCCATGTTCATCTCTGAAGCTTTTTCTTTTGAGGGGGATGTTGTCTGGCACGAGGCCCTTAACTCAGATCTACAGTTGATTATTTATTTCTCTTCTTCACATCTCTATATATACACATGAATGATCGACTTAATTAATGGTTAATGACGTCGGACCAGGCTTCATTCCTCTCAATTACATTGCTTAATTCCATCCACCTTCGAATACTTTCCAGGTTAGTTTCATAATTTTACCTTCCCTCAGCTAATCTTGTTTTCGATTTCTTTTTCTGTATATATATCACTCAGTGATTTTTAGGCAATCTAAATTTCTACATGGATGGTTTCATAAAATATTTGGCAATTAATATCGCTGGGAGTTTTTTTTTGGCAAATCTCAAGGGATTTATTAATTAGTAATACTAGTTCAGGCTGCTAGTTAAGTTCGAGTTTAGTATTTTGAAGAAAGCAAGAGCCGATTCATCATACTTGAAGTACGTGGACGGCAAAGAAATTGTATAATGAAGAACCAACTAGCTCAAACAATTCGTTAGCTCTGGATAATTATTTTCTATTTCACGTTTTTTTTCGTTATTTACTTATATATTTATTGTTTCACAAACATTTATGAATGCGGAAAGAATTACAAAATAAAAAAGAGAAGAAGAATGACAAGTGGGGCGGATAAGAGCTTTGCTTTAGGTGATGCTTACAAAAAATGACTTTTAATACAAATGAGTGAAAGGAGAGAATGAATTCTCTCCTTGTTGCATTTATACTTTATATCTATGGAAGCGTATCATTCACAAAGGTGAAAAACTACAGAATCAATGCTGTTTCACTCACTCTATAAAGTTTCGAGTGTTTGGTGTGTTCACCGCATGCAAACAAAGAAAAAGAAGAAGAAAAGGTAGTACATTCATTATATATTGCTAATGACATGCATGGAACTGTTTAAATTTTGGTTAAAATGTCACATTTGGTTATGCTCATTTTAGTTTGGTCGCCGCAGCATCACTGCACCAAGAATATATTATGTATACCGTTGGTAATTGGTATCTCTCTATCTCTTTTCTTGCCTATCACTTCTTTACATCATCTAACACTCCTTAATTATTGTGGTTTTACATGTATGCATAATAACGCATGTTAATATAAAAGTTGTAAGGGAAGTTGATACATTAGTAAATTTCGGTAGAGATATGAAACTTTTTTATATTGTATATATCATGAAATATGGTGTAATATATTCCACTTAATATATGTGAGGATTATGGCAGGCCAACAAAAAAAAAAAAAAAACACAAGTTCATGATCCTTGCATGTATACAAACACAATTACATGAACCAACTGATTTTTTAAAATCTTATGTAATTAGTTTTTATTTATTTAAAATGTTGTTCATCGATTTCTGCGTGTACAGTAGTTTATTTAATAGTTAGACGAATCATTTATATACAATTTTTTGAAGCCTTTAATTTGTAACTCCTACAAAAAGCAACGAATAGTTTAGTTGCCACAGCATCATGAAGTGCGGCACCACTACACCAAGAATATATTATGTATACGGTATACCATTGGTAACTGGTATTTCTATATCTCTTTTCTTGATTATCACTTCTTTATATTCCTTAAGATGCAACAGAGTCATTCATATATGCATTTGAATGCATTGGGATAGTTTGGAATCATATTCAATTCGACCTGAAAATAAATATAGACACACATATATATATACCGTACTACAGAGTGTTAATATTTGAAATCAACATTAATAAATATGTCTCTTCACCAAACGATCATTTTATATCCAACTTGTGATAAGATAGTAAGGTACAAATACAAAACACAAATAAATAAATAAATAAAACTTAAGATGAGACATATGCCTAACTGTGTTAGAAATTAGATGATTTTAATTCTCTAAATAATTAATAATATGTAAGGATATAAGTAGTCTACTTATTTGTATTATAGTGTTGTTATTGTCTTATCATCTGAAATGGTAAAATGTGTGAGTTATTCAAAAGAAAAGAAAAAGATAAAAGGCACATTTAGTTGAGACTTAATTAGTGTAAAGAAAACACCGATAGTGCCAAGCACTAGCCCAAGACTGTAATACCCGAGAGATCCGAAAGAAACAAAGACTCTCTAAGTATGAATAATAAGATGAAAGAATACTTAGAGAAAACTTGAAGGAACTTTAGAGAGAATAAGAGAACTTATGAAGAACACTCTTTCTTTATTTGTTCAACTTCTCTTGTTTATAAATGATGGAGTAGTAGGCTATTTATAGGCTCCACTTATTACAAAATATCTTACAAACATTCTCCTAATCTCTAGAATTTTCTACAATAATATCTAGAATTTTAACTACAACATCTAGAATTATCTATAGAATTATCTAGATATTTAACTAATAGAATTCTCTAGAACATTTAAGAAAGATGATGATTTTTAGTGATGTTTCTAGAGATTCTAGAACTTGAGCTTAATTTTGGGCCTAATCTAATAACTAATAATTATTTTATAAACCCAAAATTAAGCTTAACCCAAAATCAAGTTTAACTTCAATACTCCCCTTTAAACTTGATTTTGTCAGTCATCCCGAGCTTCGAGCGAAGTAACTCGAACTGACCTTTTGGTAATGACTTGGTGAAGATATCCGCAACGTTGTCCTCACTTTGAACTTCCAAAGCTTCAATTGTCCCATCAAGCACCTTCTCTTTTATGAAGTGATGCTCTAACTCAATGTGTTTAGTCCTCCCATGGAACACCGGATTATTGGCCAGCTTGATCGCACTTTGATTATCTCCATAAATTGCAATTGGCTTATTGATTGGCTCGAACAGATCTTCAAGGAGTCTCTGAAGCCAAATACACTCTTGAGCTGCTAGAGTTGACGCTTTATACTCTGCTTCAATTGTAGATAACGACACCGTTGCTTGCTTCTTACTGCACCATGAGACACTTGTGTTCCCACATAGGAAAACATAGCCTGAAGTTGATTTTCGATCATCAAGATCTCCACCAAAGTCAGCATCCGTGAAGCCATAAAGAGAGACCTTGGCATTATACTTGTACACCAGACCCATGCCAAGAGTTGTCTTCACATACTTCAATATCTTCTTTGCCGCTTCTAGATGTGGCTTCCTTGGTGCCTGCATAAACCGACTTACAAGACCTACCGCGAAGGCAATGTCAGGTCTTGTAATGGTTAAGTATAAA